GTATCTGTGATGTCTCTGGATTCTGCTGGTGCGCTGGAAGCGCTTCCGTAGGAGTCGGTGCTCGACTCGGAGGATCGCGAGCTGGGTCGCGACGATGTGTAGAGGGATTCTCCAGGTCTCTCGGATCCGTTGGATTCGACATCTCCTATTGTCTGTTGGGATGCCGATGGAATATCGATTACCGGAGGTGGATACGCTGGTGCGCTGGGAATGTAGTGGATTGGGAGTTGAGCGCGGATTTGTCTCCGCTGGCAACAACGTCGAAGTTGGTACAAAGTAGTGGACAAGAAAAAGAGTATAAAAGTCGCGAAGACGGCGAGAATGGATTCTGACCAGGGCATTCGTCAGGGGATCTATCCGTGGCGTAAGTCGACGATGGACCATGCAAGCTGGTAGACAGCGAGAATGGTTAGGACAATGAGAAGCGCGATAATCAAGCTAAGGTCGGTCTCGTAATTGGAACCGTTCATTAACGAGATTTCGCAGGTCTCGTCGGGAGGTGTGCTCGTTACTATTAACAGCAGAACTGTTAAAATAGAGGCGAGCTGAAGGACGAGTATAAATGGTTTCGTGTTGGGATACGTGGTGTCCTTAAACGAGACGGGGATATAACGTATACAGGGCGACCAGCAAGCTTGCTAGCAACACTGCCGATATTCCGAGTCCGATTAGGAGAAAGGTTAAGTATACAGTCAGGAAGACTGCGAGGAGTAGGTCGTCGTTTATGATGAATTCAATAATCAACCTGGTCACTAACAACAGAAGGAGTAGTCGTGGGGGTATTAGCCACAGGGCTAACGCAACGAGGTAGTGTATCGGATGAATTTTGAGAAGTGAGTGCTTTTCCGTTGGTCCACTCGCTGTACGTTGACAAGCACCGGGTTGTCCACACGAACGTAGGCGATGACCTCTCTGGTCAAGCGGGGTAATATTTCGTAAAAGAGTTGGGCAGCGCTCTTTCTCGGAAGTGACGCTGAGCAACGTAGAGCGAGCTTCGGCTAAATGTTAGCCACTAACTCTAATCGACTTAGATCGTACTAAGGTCGCTACTCGCACTTCGGCAGACGACACTCAGCAAGTCAAAGGCGACACAAGTCAATGGGGCAGATAGACGCGAAGAACGGAGTTCAAGTTAGGTAGATTAAACCTTAGCCGAAGCTGGGGTTCAGACCAGCTGAGGCTCTACTTAAATACACGTAAGTATTCTAAAAATACTACTGCGCAGTTAGTCCGTGATGATCGCGCACCGCGTAATCCGGCTGACTAAAGAAAGGAAAAGAAAAGAAAAGGAAAGAAAAAGAAAAAGAAAAGAATAATCGTAACACTCAATTGACGTTGTGTGCAACACACAGATGGCCACAACCTGTCAAACAAACTACACATGACTTAAAGCTTTGTGCTCTAAGCAGAAAACACTTCAGAAACCTTTCGTAGATCCACAGAGTTCAAACCTATGCGATCCAGAGACCCAGAAACACAAAAACATGTTCACAAGCCACAGGGTTTGAATCTATGTCACTTGGGAATAAACCAAAAAAACCCTCAAAGAGTATTGACAAGCCAAAGGGTTTGAACCTCTGCCACTTGCAACAACTCAGAATTCACAAACACGTTCCGCAAACACAAATGCACATTCAAGTTATCACAATACAATATTTCTCTGAGTTGAGCACAATCAATTACTGTCCAGAACCAAGCTAGGCATTGCACGCAAGCAAGGCATGCCTCACAACCTCTCAAGTGTTTCAAAATAATTCTAGATCTAATAATATTCTCTCGCTCAAAGCTACAAACACAAGTCCTTTGGCTGCACACTAGGCTCTCTGCTTCATGTCACAACTGTGAGGGTCTGAAAGCTTGCTACCTACTTCTAATTACCACGCTTTTATTTACAGCTAATTATATAAATAGAAATATTGAAAATAGATACACTCCACTCTGGAGCCATTTCCTCTCTATGACACATCAATCGCATGGTCACTAATTAATATTCTGAGTCAGTCATCCAAGTTAGTGCTTGGTAACATGCTGCTCGTTCCACTTGGCAAGGTCTAGAGTTGCCACATCATGTGGAATATTTCTCCTAATTGGCTCCTTGTTTTTAATTCCTCTATCACACATATTGCTAGTGAGCTGGTATTTTTATTTGGTTGCTGCACCACCTTTTCTTAGTTCAATATTTCATTCTGGGTACAGGGTTTCTCTCATGTCAGCTGAAATCCTCTCAGGAGGCTCGGACTAAGTGGTCCTCGGTTCTGAATGATGTCTCTTGGTGATTGCCAGATTGGCAGGGTTTGCACATCATAGATCAATGTTATGTGAAGCTCTGTTAATATATTATCTTCTCAGTGTATTTTATTTGAGCAAAGCACTGCTGAGGGGTGCACAGGGTGTGAATTAGGCACTGCGACTTCACACTTAAATGACACCAGTATGCTGTTCTAAGTCTAAGCCATGCGCTCTACTCAGATTATTTTATTATATGCTGCCTCAGCCTCAGTATGTGCCACTCTATGCTGGCTATGCATTATAATATTACTTAGTGGGTTGGCACACATTTGAACTCATAGAATTCGCAAAATTACATGTATGCATGTGTTGTGTATGTGTCACCATTCTCTTCTTGAGTATCTGCTCCTCCTTCGCCTACTCAGGGATCGTTGTGAGCTTGGGTGCTACTGAGACTCAGTTATGTGGCAGGTAGGCAAACCAATAAGTTACATTTGACATTGGGATGTTTGTGTTGGGATCGGGATTAACAACTGTGAGGTTAATATTGCTGGGAGATGGTGGAGCTGGAAGGGAAATCAGTGGATCAAGAACACAGGGATGCAGCTTGGGCACTGATGCCCATACTGATACAGAAGAATCTCTTAAGGCTAGCTCATGGATTTCTGGATGGTTGTGAGTCGACCTATTTTGATCCTGTTTATGCATCTAACAATTGTTCATCTTAGAATAATGGGGATCATCTTGAAAGTTGATGAGTTCTATGAATGACAATTAGACCGACATCAACTCGAATTGCTAGAAATGTGCTGATAGATGTGAATGTGCAGCAATGGTGAGTTATAATAATAGGTTCAGTCTTGTGACACTATTATCACATGCTTGTAGCACTCATACATGATTCAAATAACACTACAGTACACAAACAATACAATATGGCCCCTGCATTCAGCAAGTCCTACCGAAATCATCCATTGATGTCAAGGTAGCAGATTTTTGCCACTAGCTGGCCCTCTTTCGCAGCATGTATCTCCTGTTATAGATGTCCTCTAGTGGCAGCCATCTGCCCTTCCAACTTCCAATACCTTCCAATCACATTTTGATCTCTTACTGTCTCTGATCATGGTATCTTGATTGCAGTGCATACACGGGAAGCAGATGAAAACATACAGAATTACAATGGAAGGATTAAGCAACAGATAATGAAAAACTGGAGAATTTGCTGGTCACTTCACCGGTCACCCTCAGAATACAATGATTTTCATGCACATAGCTGATGATGGCATCGAGCCAGCACCTCTATTAATAACCCTGTGGATTTGCTAGAATTTGATTTCAGCAGTTCACTTCTTTCAGATGACTCCATCTTTGTATCATGTCAATGTCCATTGAATAATTATCAGCATCCTAAATATATATGGTTATTGCTCTGCATTGACTATCTTGCTAATGATTATGTGTTTGCATCAGTTCACAACAAACTCCTGTCCAGCAAATATTGTGTTCTCAAGATGGATTAGGCTAAACATTACTCAACCATCATACTTCTCTGACTTCGCTGATCAATAACGGTCTGGCAACTTCCACTCGATCCTTGCAGATCTCCATAGTAACAAACACTCTACGATGGGAAGGCCATGACCGGGTTGGCAAGTGCTGATGAGCAATGTCACCTTCTGTCCATGAATGAATACATACATCATTTCTATGCAGATTGCATGCCATGGGACATTGAGGATCATAATGACAGGAGAAAAGGGTGGCTTAATACAGATTGAAAATTCACCTCAGAAGCACTATAAGACAAATAAAAACTTATATCCATTGGAAGAACGGAAAAGTTAACTTATATGGAATACCCATGTCTAAGTCCTGAAAGAGGATTTTCAGGGCATGAAGACACCCTCCGATGGTCATTGGTAGTAAGATAGAGTAAGATCTGAGGTTTTCTTTGCATAGACCAGGTACCCAGCATGTTTATATTTATTGCTATAAGGTTGATCTATGGACTTCTTTGGCCTATATATTCCAGCATTTGAATCCTATGGCTCAACATAAGTAGAAGATTCCCAGGGAAAATGATCAGAAGCTAATAATATTGATTGGCTTTTGCCTGGGAATCTACAACACTCGTAAGTTCTGACATTCCATTCTGAATATCTGCACAGTTCTAAACTGCCCAAGTCGGGATATGCTATGACCCGCATTTTGAAAGGATTTCTGAAGCATTGTCCAAAACACTGGGCTGTGCCACTGGCATAACCTCTGAGTCCATGAACTGAAGCACATATTCATAACATTCTTTTGACCCCCTCTTTCAAAGCGAGAAATCAGGAAAAGGTATGGTAGTAAGAGGCATGCTACTTGGGGGTATTGGGATTACAACATGGGCCACTTTTCTTGACTGCTCCACAAGAAAATGTATGATAGCAGAGACTTTAAAAGTCTAAATGATGGAAATGGAGGATAGAGTTTGAATGACATGGAAATTTCTACTGTAGAGCTGAGGCATCTAAAAACCTAAACGTCCAGGTCAATGCTTCACATATTTCTAAAATAGTCTTAGCAATCTTGTTACTGAACTTTTCAGCCCATGAGTATAAATACCACCAGCCCAACCTCATGGTAAAGTTTACTGAATCCCTCATACCTTCTCTGAAGATGACTGACATATACTGGAGCATTGCAACATAGTCCACTGGAATTCTCCCAGAGAAATTGTACAAGATAGCAGTCTATTGGTCTATTATTATATGCATGGCACACCACTAATGGTTAGTAGCAGCCTTTGCCAATATGATACACATGATCCTTGGTGTCTACACATGAGTGTCTGCCTAATCTCTAAAAAATGTCACATAGCCAACTTTCATAGATGGGAATTCATAATTTTATTTAAGTATGATTGGAAACAGATAGTGAGAGCAAAGGCTTTTCGCTGGCCCATGGTATGCATTGAATATCTCCAATTGTAGCCAGCATTACTTATGATACAAAATCCTTCAGCTGTTTTATTTTTGCAACTGGTATTTTTTACTATTTTCTCTCATCGGAGTGTTTGACATCTATTTTTTGTTGATACTGATCGAGAGCTCACTTCTGGATTAGTACTGTCACCACAGATGTGAAGAGGTATGGAATAATTTCAAACAGTCTCACTTCTACTAACCTAAATGATGTTCAGCCCTATTAACTGTCAAGTCTTGTACATTTTCAATCAGGTATCTCCACTTTATGATTCTTCAACTGTGCTAAAGGCTCAAAATAGGTCTTTGGAAATGCATCTGTGAGCCTAGCCTCCCTCAACCTTTCTCTATGAACATATGTTCCCATTCTTTGGTGGCACATTTTCTCTGACAACATATAGATTTGCCATATGGGGTTTCCATCACCAAATTGTCATACCAATCTCCATTCTTATCCTGGCTCACTGGTCCCTTCTACTTCACAGCATGATAGTCTTTATATTGTCTCTAAATGTTGGGTTTTTACTCTCATAATAGATGTACTAATCAATGCCAATTGGTCATCAGAACTGGGAACTTGCACCATAGCAACAAGATGCTAGCAGCCACTTTTATCTACACCCTGAGTTTTGACTTCCTGATCTTGCTGTTAACTGGATGTAAACTACACATGAAGTGCACATGGTCATATTTCTTTCCTTTCACAAAGAAATCCCATTGACTCCGTCTACAGAGTACCAGGAAATATACAACACTCAGAGATTATCCAGCTGGTTTTCATAGATGGATTGATCTTCTTGGTCACTTTTGTTGTCAATGTAATTGCTGTGATAAGTGTCGAAACTCATTTGGTCATTTATCTGACTTTTTCAAGGTTTTCATGCTCTTAAATCTCAATGCTGTGATGTCCATCATTGCCAGTGTCCTGGTGGCTACACTGTCCATGGTATGTGCTAAATATATGCATCCAAGCCTCAGTTCCAGATTGAAATTATGGCCTAGATTGTCACTTGTTGAGCAGTGCACTGTCTGAGCCAATACAGTGCAGCAGAATCTCACTCCGAGGCTTCGAAGTGAGTGAAAGGCTGGTGAATTTTATCCATACTGAACGCTCTGTTTCCAGTCCCAGGCCAGTGTCCACCACTTTAAGATTTTGAGCTGGATCAAACTAAAATGTGGCAGATGAAGTACACATTCATATTAGTTGCAGCCCTCGTTGGTTCAACCCTATTGACTCTATAATAGATGGAAGCCCTCTGACCTGCACCTGCTGCTCTGATATACCCAGAATCTTTCGGAGTATCATTAGATAGCACGAAAAGGAGAGTACCTTCAGATAAAGGAGATTCTTGATACACAGGCAGAGTCTCACTCATTAAATTTACTGTGTACATAACTGATGTGGTAAAACTATGCTGCAGTGCAGCCTTTCTTGTGTCTGTCATCAAGGTAGTCAGACTTTCATAATACCACCGATATGGTGACTGAATTCAAGGTGGAATGAAACTATCAGATTTGAATGGGCAAAATCTATAAACACAATTGGAGGGAAGCTGGCGATGTGTGCAGTTACAGTTCTCTACCAAAGATATACTAGTGGAGTGAGGGCCAACACATCCAAGTGGCAAGTCTGAGTCCTATGCTTCCCCTCCACCAGCAGCAATGCACCATGTTAGCAAGGTTAAATTGTATCTGCAGAAATCTTTTATTATTAGTAAATGGAATTTACTACAATTCAGATCAATTTACATATCACAATGTGAAAGTGTTTGTGAGGCTCTGATGCTGGCCAGCAATTTGCTTTCCACTTGGTGATATCAGCGTCTTTGCCCTTTCTAGTTTCTGTGGTCTTACCAGATGATGCTAAGACTATAAGAGCAGTCAGCCAAATTGTTCTTAGATACAGATTAAGAAAGTCTCACCATCAACATAAATTGTACCCTCTGGGATTGCCCAAATCCCTAGGTCATCATCAGATAGTCCATTGACGATTCTGGCATCCAAATCCTTCTATACTTGGTCTACTATTTGTGACACCACAGTCTGGGAGACACAAATGCCAATGTTGTCACTGCATGGTAGCTGGCATCTTTGAAGCCAAACTAAGCCGATATGTCAACCTGAGCAAAGATGTGCACAGACTAGAACTCACTACTTTGCTAAGGGAGTTGCTGGATACCAAATCTATGAGTCAATCAATGTGATGGCTAACAAGATTGTGGGGATCTGTTCTGACTTTTTGGCAAAGATCAATCCATGTTTAATGTGCTGGAGCACCTAAATAGGATCTGTTAAATAGGAACAAATATCATTGAAGACTATAGACAAAAATATGAGTTTATGATAGGCTACAATCAACACCTCTACAGCCTCCCGCTCCTTGACTGTGACATCACATTCAGCTAGAAAAGCGATGGAGCTGAGGAGCAACGCAGTGAGTTGCGAATGCTTATTCCATGAAACAGATACATCATCAACCTTGGCCATAGCAGGGGCTCATGAGCTGTGAAAACCATCAATGTATCACAAACCAGATGAGATGTCAATTTGGGAAATTTTGCAGCAGATGAGTCAATTGCTCGGTTCACATCTCTTCGAATATCTGCAAATGAGCTATTGAAAGAAAGATGCAGGAAGATGTTTCCAACTTGCAGCCTATTGGATGATAAGTGACTGGATTGTAGATTGAATTGAAAAAGGGGATCTGATGGCATCATTTTTGGATATTTCTTTGCTAAAAAAGTGTATCAAAGCCTCAGTGGCATGCAAAAGCCACCTCTTGTCCTCAGAGTCAGTGAGTTTCTGATAAACAGCTCAGAGAGAAGGAACAAGGGCTTTGCAGAATTTGAGGTAAAGGCCTGAATCACCACATTCTGCAATATGACATCATCTAGATAGGAAATCAATACCACATGGCTCCCATCACTGAGCTATCGATGCACTAAACTTTCTGGCCTGCACCAAAGGTCCCAGAAGGACTGCCACCACAATATATCCTTCAAACACACTGGCATTTGGATTATTAGAAGTCATCTTCAGACTACTCTCGAATAAGGGTACGACTGTTGCAGAAGTGAAAGATAGCCATGCAAGCATGTCCAAATTCTCTGATGGCCACAGAATATTACTGGCTAACGCACAGAAATTTTGGGTGCGGTGGCCAAGATTCAGAGGCATATATGTAGGAGTTCCTAGCCATCAAACATCACTCTGACATCCATTGATGTGGTCCTGACCCTTCAACAGCACTGCTGCTGGCACTTTCTCATCCTTCCTTCCACAACCTAGTATCACTGTTTTGCACTCGGTACCTAACAAGATAAACCCCCTTTGTCTGCACACTGTCATCACTGAGTGCTCAGGCAGCTTAATGGCATTGTACACATCCAGATAATGATACTTAGAGCCTTGGCACCAGGAAATACAAAGAGAACATCTAAAGACACGAATTAGTGAGAGATATGAGCAAAAGATACCTTGTCTTGTTAGAATCATTTGGGGGCATTTAGGATCCTAATAGGCAGGTGACAATGGTGGGATGGTGAAAAAGATAGGAACAAATCAGTCTATTGGTGGATAGTCAGGCCAAACAACATATGAGAGTGAGCATTTCAAATCAAAGGATCTCAGGACAGTGGTGGGACAGTGTGAAAGCAGAAGTCATTGAAGAAAGTTGGAGATGGCAGTTACATTGAGTCAGCAGTGATGTTATTAAGGTAGGAGGGAACCGGATAAAGCAGTCAGAGAGAAACGGGGCTCAATAGAAAAACTCCCATGTTGAGCTGAGCCCTGTTGGTAAATGCCATGATGGATTGATTTCTCAAGTAGAGTTTTCCCACAGTAAGTTCAGCATGATAACTGAAATCCTATATTCATAGGACTCAGAATATGTTTGATACCAGTCTAGAGTCTGGTCTAACTATCAAGACAAAGTAGGCAATATTAATGGCAAAATCTGCAATGCTGCCAACAGAGGACAGTGATTAGTATGTATGCAACCATTCTAATGTACAGCCCTCCCAGCACCTCTGATGAATTCCAGACCTGCTATCCACTGAAGTCATCATATGCTCATGTAATGAGACAGCAGGTCCTCAGATTCAGATTATCTCAAATGATCTTGCATTAAGTTGACCTGTACTGGATTGAGTTCAAGCAAAGAGGGATTAACCTCCACATATTGCATACTAGGTGGCATTGGAAGAGCACAAGAGATAATTGGTAAATGGAAAGCATGATAATGCTTACAGCCAGGAATATTGGCTTGCTAGCGCCCTCTTTGGCTATGATAGCATAAATCATCAAGCATTTGCTCTGACAATCTAAAATTTTGGATAACTTGGTTAGAATGAAGACAAAGAGGGTCATCACATAAAAGATGTTCAAACCCTCACTAACCATCTAAAAGCTGGCTTTCAAGGAACATCTCATTTGGAGAAGCTCTCTTGCCTCCATGAACAGCAATTTTGTGAGCATTCCATGCATGTGTCTATCTTTACACATCATCATTGAGGTCCTCAAGGAAAAAGAAGTGCAGAAGAGCCAGATGCTCATTGTTATCTTGTTCTAAACCATGATGCCACTCAAGATCCTCAAAGAAAGAAATCCACTTTTTGAGAAAGCCTTCCACAACAACCACCCAAGGTCTTTCAATTCAAGTGTTGTAAACAGACCTGGAGAGATGAATCAGTGTCATCTTAAACTTTGCCTGAGTTATCTTCACTTTCCCCATATGTAGTCATTGTCTCCTCAATAATGGTATATCCATTGGGCCACCATGGTGTTTTTAATCCTGTGGTCCTCACAACACTGCATTGATACTCTCCAGAGTATAATCACTTCAAGAAACAAGTCCAAAACAGTCCTTTGCTTGTTATTACCTGACACCCTAATTCTGAAGATAGCCTGTCTATGAACATATGGACCATGAATTTCCAGTGGATGAGCTCTAAGAACAATGCCATCAATAAAGCTGATAAATGGAAGACTAGGCATGCACTATGGTTTCCATCATGATGGCAACACGAATTAGCACCAGGAACAAAATAGGATTGCTGAGGAATAGAGCATCGACCAAATTGCCTAGAAGGACTGTGTACTCTTTCATATGAGCTCTTAATCCTCTCTTGAGATACTTGTAAGCCTCAGCTAGCAATTACACCAGACAGCATGGTTCCTCGGGCTCGAGCTTGAGGATACATGCAAACATGACATGGGTAATGTGAGGAGGAAACTGTTGAGTGTGTGTCACAAAGGTGGGTGGTATATGTTGGCTGTCTTGACAAAAGAGGTGGTGCACTGCACAGGCACAAGAAAGAACACTGCATGCTGTCATGGATTGAAAGAAAGAAGTATGGTAGTGTGAAGAACAGAGATGTTATAGGTGCTGGTATAAGCACAAAGGATGGAAATGATGATGAGGAAGACTTGAAGGGAGGTGTGTACCATAATGGTAGGGGTTAACATAATCAAGTTAAATCTTACTGAAATCCACAATCAAGATTATGATGTCAGTGCAGTATTGTATCTGCAGTCATGGAGTTTTGAGGGCAGTGTCCTTGAGCTGTGGATACCAAATATTACAGATTCTCTAGATGGTGAATGAAATGAGAGAGTATCAATGAGATGAGAGATGTTGAGCTTACAACGCACCAGTCTGGATACAAACTGACAGAATGACAGGTCATTGGAAGCCCTGGATCTCTGATCAGTGTGACTTGAGTGATCTTGCTCTTCTTTTGTGCCATAAAGACGTTAAGAAGGGAAGTTGAAAGATGAGGTCCTTTGAATTTTTGATGGGGTCAAGACATCCGAACTGTTAAGGGAGGCGAATGGCAGTCATCATGAGAATCAAAGGGGGCCAGTCTATTAAATGTTATTGGGAGAGCTCTGAGTAAAATCGTTAAGATGGTAAAATGCCTGTACTTGAATATAGACGATGTACATCCAGTGATACAGTCGAGTACCCACTTGTTTGCCCAATGCCAGGACATGCCACTGCCTAACGAGATTTTACAGAGTCAATAGATATCA